ACCATGATTAGTAAGTATCTATGATCAGTTACTAACTTTGAACACTAATAAACAATGACTTGCAACTTTTGTAACACAACACATTTCTGAGACCGGGCCGGCAGCAGTCACTTCGTTCCGGGGATGTTAGAACCCGTTGAGAATCATATGCACCGATGTGCGAGATGTGTTTTGGTTCAAATTTAAGAGCAAGCTATTTGACTGAAACTATGGAGTTATTCTTCTATATAATTTTACTAGTCTATAAATAGGAGCATGGTGAATCGATGCACTATATATATACATATATATAGCTGCCATAGGAACGATCGGACGATTTATAGAACTATGATCATAATTAACTATGACCAGTAATTAATTATGAGCAGTAAGTAGCTATGAGCAATAATTAACTCTGAACAATAAGTATCTTTGACTACTAAGTAACTATGATAAGTCAGTTCGTGTGATCAGTAACTAACTTTTAACACTAGTAAACAATGACTTGCAACTTTTGTAACACAACACATTTCTGAGACTTGGCCGGCAGCAGTCACTTCGTTCCGGGGATGTTAGAACCCGTTGAGAATCATATGCACAGAATTGGGAGATTTGTTTTGGAACAACATTAAGCTATTTGAGTGAAACTATGGATTTATTCTTCTATATAATTTTACTAGTATATAAATCGGAGCATAGCGAATAGGTGAACTATATATATACATATATATAGCTGACATAGGAAAAATCTGACGATTTATAGAACTATGATCAGTAATTAACTATGACCATCAAGTATCTATGACCAGTGAGTAACTATGAACAGCAAGTAACTATGATAAGTAAGTATCAATGAATATTAAGTAACTATGATTAGTAAGTAGTTATGATTAGTAAGTAGCTATGACCAGTAAGCAGCTATGATCAGTAAGTATCAATGACCAGTAAGTATCTATGAACACTAATAAACAATGACTTGCAACTTTTGTAACACAACACATTTCTGAGACCGGGCCGGCAGCAGTCACTTCGTTCCGGGGATGTTAGAACCAGTTGAGAATCATATGCACAGAATTGCGAGATTTGTTTTGGAACAACATTAAGCTATTTGAGTGAAACTATGGATTTATTCTTCTATATAATTTTACTAGTATATAAGTCGGAGCTTGGCGAATCGGTGGACTATATATATACATATATATAGCTGCCATAGGAACAATAGGAAAATTTTAAGAACAAATGATATCTTTTCAAGTTTTCAACATATTTTCTTTAAATTTTATATCTAACCATTAATTATTTATCCAAAATTTGGGGTACATTTTTATAAAAATCGGAATACTATATCATTTAGGTGCCATACAAACGATTTTAAAATTGAGGAAAATTGTTTTTTAACATATATAATAATGTATTAATTCCTAGTGATCGAATTTTAGAATACAAACTACGACGTGCAGAAGTTAGCTTCCTTTCTTGTTTTATCTTAACTTTTATTCCCAGTGCATAGTTGGATGTGAGTTTGTGAAAGTGTGTGAGAGATGGCATAACAAAAGCTATGGCAATAAGCATGGCAGCCAAGGCTGAGAGACATGGCTCGAGAAAATCACAGCATCCAGCCCCCAAACCCCTCCCCCATCCACCAACCAACGCTGGCATCCCTTTGAATTGAAGTTGCAGCTGATCCATGAAAATATGTTGCATGCAGCCCCACCAGCAACAGCAGCAGCAGGAGGAGCAGCAACAACAAATTCTCGAGTACTGCTACTTACAGCTTGTGGCTCATAAAAAAAAGACGACGTAAAAATACAACTAACACAAAATCTATAAAAATGTACAGAAAATTGAGAAGCAGCCTGAAGAGCTTAGGCAAATATTTGCGTAAGAATGCAATTTAGATTAGTTTAAAGTGCAAAAAATCGCTTTAGAAAACTGAAAGGATTTAGATTTGGCAAGAGAATTAAGGAATTTGATTGGAAACTCAAAGAGTTACAATTTGTATTTGAAATTCTAAATAAAAGTGCATTTTCGACAATAATAATAAATAGTAAAATGAAGTTTTAATAAACCCCTTTTGTTTGAGAAGCTAAAAGTTAACATTAACCTAGTTACTGCTTTAAAATATACTTTGACTTATCATTTCCACAAGAATGAATATGTTGACTATCCTAAAAGTTATCCCTTAGTTCTGTAAGTTCCCCGATTAACCTCTTACCCTTAATTTTGACGTATGCCAATCGCCGGTTAAATCCCTCAACTCTTTGGCTGCCCCATTCGATTGGTTTGTTTGTTATTGGTCCAGGCTCCATTATCGATTCTGGTTTTCGAATCCGTTCGTTACCCCCTTTTCCTTTTTTTACTTTTTTTTTGCAGCTGCAGGACCCATACCCGGAATCGCCACCCATTTACCCGAGGACATTTCCTTGTTGGCGAATGCTGTTGGCATGTAGCTGCTGCATTTTACATTTTTACTTCGTTAACTTGATTTCCGCTGCCAAATGAATGCAGGGAACGAAAAGTTGACAGCTTGAAGCGATCGAAGTCGCGCTTAAAGTTTAAATATTTGGTTACGCGCGGTCTGGGAATTTACGGGGAATATGCGAAATTCAATTTACGCCAAACAAAATCATAATCCATCTATCATTCATCAGGCGGCGAACACTTGCCGCCAGCGGAAGGAACTTCATAGATACGCCAACCTGCAGGCCCAGATACAGATACAACGCATATTAGACGGCAGAGGAAATGGGGCTGAGGGATGGAAGATGGATTTTCCTGGGAGGAGGACTTCCCATGCCGGGGCTTTTCTTTATTTCTTTTTACATATTTTGTTACGCTTGTAAAGCTCAAATCCCCAGCGTATAAGCATTTCTACTTCAGTCGCTGCTCAGTTTAGCAGGCTCCCCAGCTCCGCTTTTTTATTTCCACTACCTCTTCTCTCGAACTACACTGAGAAAAAATAATGGGGGATTAAAGGAAAGTGATACCTAAAATGGGTAGCCCAATAAAGTATTGAGAAAAGTTTCGAACGGAGAATTAGGAATACGTCTTAAATAATTGTCTCTCTTTAGTTTCCTTATGTTCTTTGGACTTTCTTTAGTACTTTCCCTAAAATAATCATTTTTAAAGAAAACAGAGACTAAAAACCACTCTTTCATTATTAAATTACCTGAAAATGTGTCTTAAAAAAATCAAATTAAAAATAAATTGATAACTATAAAATATTTGTTGTTAATTTCAAATACCTAAAAGCTTTTAAGGCATCCCTGCCTTTTTTATGATTTCCCTTCAATATTTTCATAATGTATCTTATTTTCTCTTTGTGTATCTCAACCACTACCTCCCCCTCTCCCTTACCCACTTCTCCCCTTCTTTCTTTTCCCCTGTTTGTCTTTGAATTTGACAAAATGCGTGGCCTGGCATTTGCCTGATAACGTGGCTTCCACTTGCTTTAAGGCCCGCTCAACAAATGGCCAGAAAACGTTTCGAAACCGTGGTGAGTATCCCGAAGTGCAAGTATCTCACGGATCCCATGCTCTGAGAGGGGCAAAGATACTCGCATCTCACGCACTTTTTGTGTTTCAATTTCCCTGGAACTCTCGCCTAGAGAAGTTTTTACCCCTCAACGTATTTTTTTGCTTTCCATCTTTTTTTTCCAGTTTCTTTTTTGCTTTTTGCGAAGGAGAAAGACCCAACACCTGAGGGTAGAAAGAGAGGTGGTCTCGCAGAGTGAAAAAGAGGGGTATATGGGAGAGAGAAAAAGAGAGCGTGAAGCAAGTGCGCCGGCGCTTTAAATTCAACTTTATGAGCAGCGCTGCCAACGTAGCACTTGATGTTTCTCCCTCGTATGTATTATTTTTTTATTGTATTTTTTTTGGGGGTGGCAATGCTTTTGGTCTTCCAGTGCCCGTTGAGGGTGTGCTAGTGTGTGTGTGTGTTTGAACCACAAAAACAAATGCCACCGAGAAGTAAGTTCTGTGGGCAGTAGCTTCTGGGCCTTGCGCCCGGCAAGTCTTCGTTCTTCGGTCTTCGGTCTCTGGGACACTCCCCGCCAAAAGAGTCCATCCTCTCCTTGAATATCCTGTCGACGCCGACGCCTCGCGATTACTCCAATTCGTGTCCGTGTGCGATAAGAAATGCCAAAGTCTCGGCGAGGACCAAAGCCAAAGTATCTTATTGGAGTCGCTGGCGGAATCATTCCTTAACGCGACGCGTCTCGGTGCGGTTGTGCTTACAGGTTCATCCCAAAATAATAATACAAAAAAACACATATTATAAACTTGACAACATCCGTGGATTAATATTGTGACACTCACTGAAGACTCATTGTTTTCTTGGACAAGATAATAAAATAATATAAAATGGAAACATCAAAATAAATTACAACAATTCTAACAAAAATCCAAATTTACTTGGGTAAGTTTAAGTGGTGACCAAAAGTGTTTTACAAAAAGTGAAATTTACAAATATAATATTTTAAAGAATTTTAATAAACATGTTGCATTTATTTGGATTTATTGAGTTGTTTTTTAATTCTTTAAAATTCATAGGCAGTATATGCGATTGCAATATATATTTATTTTGAGAGTTAGTTTAGATCTGAAAATGTTAAAACTACTTCGACTACCACATAAAAATTTAAAAAACGTATTTCTAAATAGTGTTTGAAGTGATATAAATAATTTGCAAAATAGCACCTTTCAACTGTCATTATTAAAGAGATTTAAACAAAATTAACAGTCGCTACTTCCAATTGTCATAGGAAATAATTTAAAACATTTTCTTTCTAATATATGAATATTGAGGCTTCACATTAAATACAAGATTTGTAGTCAATATATTATTTTGAAATTAATAAATATCTGTCAAATTTATTTTAATACTTTAAAGAATTGATACATTTATATATTTGATTGATTAAAATATATTTTCTTATTTCCAAAGGATTTGTATTTTCCACTTTTGATTATGAAGTTCATATTATACAAATTATGTGAATTTCCATATGTATTATATTTCATTTAATTGGCACTTTCACAAGCATCCACCCAATCATTATAAACATCAATCGGTTCTGATAGAAAGTTAATTCCAGTTTGGTAATCTTCTAAACACACTCGACATGTTATTTTTGCGGTATTTCTGCCTTTGTCCATTTTCACTTCACAGGATTTTTCATGATTGCAAAAAGGACAATTAAATTGTTGATCAAGTGGTTCAATATTTTTTCTTTTCGGTGGCGGCTTCCTTTTCGACTTCCTTCGACCCATACTTTATTTCTTTTTGATCGAGAGCTTTTAGTTGGTAAAATAATCAGGCTCTAAAAGGAAATTTGTAAACTATTACATTTAAATGTATTTTGAAATGGTGAATGTAAATTTTGTGAAATTTGGTGTGTGATTGAATCATAACTAAAGTTTGAAATAAATGTAAATATTGTTTGAAATTGATATCATTTGTTTAGGCAAGAGTTAAAATATTTGAATAAATAGGAAATTTGTGTAAACTAGTTTTTGGTACATTTTTATTTTTAATATCAGGACTTTATTAAGCTCTATTTAAATGTGATTCTATTTTATTATTAGAATTTACAGAACTGTTTCTAAAAATTGTTGTACTCAGTTCAATTTCTGTACTTTTATTATAAAATTAAGTAGCATTACATTTGTAATTAAGCCACTTAAATTTCAAATGTCACTTGGTTTTAGGGTTCACATTTTTGGAGAACATGTTTTTAATATATAGCTGTATTGTTTATTTTCTAGATATTTTTTTTTCAATTTTAGTTAATTTCAGTGGGTTATTATCACCTTCCAAAAAAACCACAAATTACGATCACATTTTCACGATCTTTCGCCGCATAAAAAGCAAAAAACACAACCGCACCGAACGAGGCGACGCGCCAAAATAACTTCACATCCTGCAAAATCAAAGGCAAAAGGCGAAACAGAAAACGAAAACAAGGACTTCCAGGCAGCCGGCAAAATAATTGCATAAATTAAAATCTTAATTATGCCGGGCCACATACACAACAGAGAGCGCTTCAGAGTCTCTTTCTCTTTCTCGGTGGCTCTGCGGCTGCTCTCAGTCACAACTCCCTTTCCGCTGTGACGTCACCAAATGAGCGCGGTACAAAATGAAAATGAAACAGAGAGAAAGAGAGAGAGAGAGAAAATTAAACAAGAGGAGAAATTTGCTGGGCGGAAATGAGGGCTCGCTGCGGAAAATATGCAAAAATGCGACGGCAAAATTAATGAGTAACAGGAGCAATTCTGCCGCAGCCGCTGTCGCTGCCTCTGCCTCCGTTGACGTCTCTGCCGGGGGCTCTGCTCATTACTCAAATGAGAAGCGCAGGACTCCGTTGTCCTTGGCCGTGATTTTGGTCTCATGTTCGTGAGGCCAACTCCCCTGCCCCGCCGTTCATTAACATAATTTTAATTTGGGTTAGTGAGACAAACGGGCGTTGAACTTGAATGGGAAAAACACAGGATACACAGGACACAAGGACGAGCGAGAGCAGCTGTTAGACACACAGAGCATCAGAATTTCGCTGCTTGATTTTATTCCGGTATATGTTAATGAGTGTCGGGTTTATAGCTCAACCCCATATAGCTACACCCTTTCGCTTTCTAGTTTAATTCTATTTTTTGCCTCTTTTTTATGCAAATGAGCTTCTTTTTTTTTGTGTTGTGTGTGTGTGTGTGTAGGGGTCCTTACCTAAGGGTATACTCTTTTTTTAGGGTCTGCTGCAGCTGGCTGGGATTTAATTGCAACACACATCACACACACACATATCCCTTCATCAGTTGCCAGCTAATTTGCATAAATTTTTCGCAATTTCGCTCGGAATTCTTTATGCAAATTCAAGTGCATTATTTGCAAATCATGTTCCGCGGGTAACTCTCCGTTGTCGTTGCTGTCAATTACCGAATTGATTTCAGATTTCAGACTGATGTGGATAGCTTGAGTGCTTGTCCTGCGAGTAAATTTTCGCGAATTGGGGTTGCCATCTCATTTTGCGGTAGGGTTGTCTACTCTGCCAATTATAAGCTTAAAACCTATTTACTAACAAGAGTTTAGGTTGGGGGTTAGAATTGTTACTCAGAAGAGGTTGTAAAATGTCAATCAAGGTTTGGAATTTAAAGCTGATTAATTTAGGAGATGTAAGAGGGTGAAAAACATTAAAAGAAGGTAAATAGTTTCAGGTTAATCAATTCAATCTCCTTCATCTAACGTAAACTTCATTTATTCAAAGTATTTTAATAGTATAAAGTCTTCAAATTAAAGATTTGCTTTAAAATAAAGCTAAAGATATTGGAAAGAACTCCGAATTATACCAAGACTTATTCAAATAATAAAACAATACATTTTAGACGTTCAACAACCCACTCATAACTTAAATAAATGATATTTATAGCCACAACTCCTCACATTATATCCCCTCTAGTACCACAAAAACCCCATATCTAACCGCTCCCAAAAACAAGTAAGGACCCCACCCTTCAAATCGATATCTTAACACCCGGCTTTTGTCAGATGCGTTTCGCGATTTCGTTTCGCCATCAATCGCGATGTGAAATCGGTTTAGATAAGGCTCCCTCCGCCCTTTGGCCATTTATGACAACGCATCCATAGTTCAAATCCAAAAACGGTTTTTCCCACCCGCCCCCAGAAACTAAATGGAAAAAGGGAAAATAGCCGCTCACCAAATACACACACACATGTCCTCACGGAAAACTGCCATTTTCTTTGGCATTTCGCACACACATGCTCGAAATTTTTGGGAGCGTTTTCTTCAACACACGAGCAAATGTTTGATGGTTGCTGTACCAATACAAATGCAAATACAAACAACAACAGCCACAGACACACGAAAGTTGTGAGGGTGAAGACGACAACAGCCACGACAAAAAAAAAGAAAGGAAAATAGAAAAAACCAGATCCACACACATGAAAAGCGAGGGTGGGTGACTTTTCCAGGGGTTGGTTCAGTGCCTCGTGTTTCCATATTGGCATGTGCAAAAAAAATACATATGAAATCGGTAAAAAATGAGAGACAGCGCCAGCCAGCGAAATAAACCAAATATTGTATCTGCGGCTGTCGAGGCTCTTGAACAGGTCCCTTTTACAACAGTTTTACACTATAAGAAAATACTTATTAAATAAGGAATAATGCGTAAGAAAATCAATCATTAAATTTCATTTTTATGAGCTGAATAAATAAATCTTACATCTAAAGTTATTGCCCATTTTCTCTAGTAAAATTTTCTTTAAGTGTACTTACCCACTTTCCATCCTTTGTGGCTCCTTTCCTTGCTTTTCTGCTTTGTGTTAGCGTAATCCTTTTAGCAAAAAAGCGAATACTGTGTAGAAAAAAATATATAATAAAAATAAGAAAAAAAACTACCAGTGGAAAATACATATCAAAATGTTGAAAATAACTGACAGGACGACAAGCTCTTCCTCTGGTAAAATCCCCCTTTCCCCAGTCTGACACCATTCTAGCTCCAGGATGTCTCTATCCTTGACGCTGTAACTCCGTTGCCATCCATTTCTCTGTCCAACTGTCGCGGGTTTTTGAAGGGAATTGAATTATAGTCAGACATACATGAAGTTTCCTTTACCAGAAGCTTCTACACTTGAAGATATTCAAAAAGGATGTGCAAAAGGTTGTTCTCAGAGTTGGAAAATATAAGAATATCTAAGGAACAAAGGAAAATTTAGAGAACGAAGGAATATGTAGTTTAGGCAAGTTAATTACCTTTTTAAGATATTATTTAGAAGTCATATACAACTTTTTTTGCCTTTCTAGATTTCCTAGAACATTTTCTTTATTTTCCAACATTTTCCCATTCAATTTCTCGCTCTTTCTGTGACCTCCAAAGTTCGTTGAATGTTTGCCTTTGTCAGGTGTGCCGACAAAACCAATTTTCAAATATTTTCACTTGGTTTTTTCTTCATTGGCAAAATATTTGCTTGACTAAACACGGATACACACCCAGAGAGACAGTTGGAGAGACAGACAGTCTGTCAAAGTCAACAATGCCACTGCAGTGAGTGAGAGTGAAAGGTTTTCGCGCTGAATAAATCCTTTAACGAGGCAGACGGGACAGATTATGCAAATTAGCGGCGAACAAGTTTTTATTTTTTCGCAAAATCAATAACAAGCATCGAGTCGAGTTAGGCGAACGAAAAAAAATCTGCATAAATTTCCACACTCACCTACGGAGAGCAGGGAAATGGGAAATTCGTTTTTGCCTTTATTAGTTTTTCTGCGAACGCATTCGACATTTTACAATTTTTACATTCTGCAATTTTGCAATTTGATTTTTTTTATATTTTCCCTGCGAAGGAGGGAGGATTCAAAGCGAGGCGAGGCGAGTTGGCAAAATATGCAAATGAAGCTCAAGTTGTTAGGGTTGCACATTTGCCGCGGGGCCTTGAGGGTTGATCGGGGAAATATATACACATATATATATGAATAGTATTCGCAAAGCGAAATCTTGTTATTGATTTTCTAATGCCGAAAAGCTCGACAGATATAGTTGGGAAATCTAGTTGGAGATGTCAGGATTTGTATCTGATTTATATTTTAAAGGTAACTTGTAATTTCAAATAGTTCTTGTGTTAAATATAAATGCATAAAGATCCAAAACTGTTCCCTTTATTCCTTTAAATTTTGTTTCAAAATAAATTTATTTTAAGCCTTGCCCTGTTCCTTAAACTATATCTGTAAACCCTAATCCCAGAAATCACAAAATATTCTCATCTAAAAAATAGACCTCTCAACGCTTTTCATTCCTTTGGCTTTTTCCACAAACAATTTGCTGCATTCTTTTGAAAGCTAAGAGAGAGTAAGATTGAGGGAACGAGGGAAAAACTATAACAAACAATTGTGTGCTGTTAAGGAAAAGCATTTTCAATTTTTTTTCACAAAGCAAACGTTACGAGTCCGCGCCAACTCAAGCTCAAGTACAGTTAACAGTATTGCCCCCCGTCCTTCGTCCTTTTGCTCTTCGCCTGAATAAAATGCAAAATATTAAGCATAAAATATGTAACCCATTTCAAAAGGGAAAATGGGGAAAATCGTGGAAAAGCTGAGGGAGTAGGGGGGACGTGTACTTGGGACTGATGCTTGGCGATGCCAAATCTAGAGGCACATTCTGGCAGATTTACTGCATATTGGCCCGGCGTCAAAAGCAGCCAAAAATTGCGCGTTGCTATCCCCAAAAGGCTCCACTTTTCCCACCCCCACTCCTCCACTCTCCCC